AGGTATGGGGAAGGGCAGCGGGCGCGGGAGGAGCTGGAAGCGGGCGCGGCAGAGGCGGCAGCAGAGGCCGGGAGAGCTTTCTCTGCTGTGCAGCGGGCAAACGCCCACATGGCCGAGAAACTCCTGCAGGTGGCTGCGCCGGGGCAGGTGAGCAGTGTCCGAGCTGTACAGCTCCTGCTCGCAACCCCCTCTTTACCTGCCCTGCCTCCCGGGTTGGGAGATGCTCTCATGGAGCCTTTGGCATCCCCGACCCCGCAGCAGGCGACTCGCAGCTTCCAGCAGGTAATTGCTGCTCATTTGAGTGGGTGTCCCTGCAAAACAAGTAATGGGGGGCACTCCCTCTTCTAGCTGGAGGTGTGGGCAGGCTGGGAGCATCCCTCTCCTGCCTCCACCCAGAGCACAGAGGGGTGGGTGAGCCTCATCCCAGCTGCTCCAGTGACTGGAGGGATCATGCCTGCAGCCACAGAGTTCTGGGAGACATCTCCCCTTGAGCTCCCAGATGTCCCAAGGAGCTCGCTTGCCAAGCTGGAGTGGGCTGGGACCCACATTTGCTATCTGGGTGCAGCTCTTCTCCCCTCACTCCTGCTTTCCTCTCCCCAGCTGCAGGACCGGGCTGGCTCTGCCCACAGCACGGCCACCTCTGCTGTCTCACATGGAAAAGCCACGCTCGCCAACACAGAGTCCCTCCTGGCCAGCTTGGAAGGTAAAATACACCAGCCAGAGCATTTCTGGTCACAGCTCAGCTCTCCCCACTCTGGCTCTGGATGCCAAGGGGAGGATGAGGCAGTTCAGTGACAGCTGGGTTGTCCCCACAGGTATGAGGAAGGCACTGGGACATCGGAAGGGTCAGGCTGCCCTGAGCAGGAGGATGACACATGTGCGGGAGAGGGCAATGATGGAGGCCCAGAGAAGGATTAAACAGGCAGAGAAGACGCTGGGAAACTCCTTGTCCATCTCTGCCACGGCCCGGAGGATGGCTGGAGAGGCTGAGCAAGTCTCTGGGGAGAGTGCCAAGGTCTGAGCAGAGGGGCTGTGGGGCATGGCTGGGCTGGCAGCCATCAGGGGCTCCCAAATACAACCTCTGCTGTCGCTCCAGCACAGCCCATCCTTGTCTGCATGCAGATCAGGGGGATGTACCCAGCCAGGGCTCCAGCCTAGGAGCCATCCAAGGTCCTCCTGCATGTCCCCAGGTGACTGTCCCCATCTCTATCCCTTTGCAGAGGGCACAGGCTGTGCTGCAGGGGAGCAAGAAGGCCCGCAAGCACACCAGGCAACTCACCACGCGTGCCAATGAGACCCAAAGGGAGCTCTCCCGGCAGGAGCGTGTTGCTGAGAAGCTCAGGGAGGACCTGGAGGAAGCACATAAGGTGAGTCAGGTCCCCTAGAGCAGGTTATGTCCTCCAAAGACTGGAAATGGCTTCGCCCACAGCCCAAAGCATAGGGAGCAACCTGGCTTTTGGGCTCCAGTGGATGGGGAATGCCTTGGAGACTGGGATCTCTTCCCATCTCCCATCCAGTCAAGGGTCAACAGTGTCCCTGATCTGGGTGTCTGTCTCTGTTGGAAGGTGGGGACAGAGGTGAGTGAGATGGCAAAAAGCCTCCAGGAAGCCCGGGGCTCACTGATCTCGGACATTGAGACCTTGAACGACCTGCTGAGCAGCCTAGGTGAGATCTGGGGTGGGCGTGGGGTGCAGGCCCCCAGGGAAGGGCCAGGCTGTCAGGGCCCAGGGCTCTCCTTCTTGCTGGTGCTGTCTCCTGCTTGGTGGCCATCTGGGCTGAGCTGGGAGCCCTTTGGCTGTGATTGCTCTGGATCATAGCAAAGCTTCTTGAGTGCTCAAGTAAAGCCCTCATGCAGAATGAATTTGGGCTTGCTGAATGTGTGTGCTTATGCCTGGTGTGGGGACACTGATCTCCCTTGGCATCTCCAGGAGCAGGGCTGGGTCAAGGGCTCAGTCCCTTTGGAGCTGAGAGAGATGCTGGGCTGGGTTTACTCCTTGCTGTGGATGGTTTTGCTCCAGCTCCCCCCTGCTTTGATCATCTGGGTACATTTCTGAGCACCATAGGACTCCTGCATCTGAGAAGTTTTGCAAAGGGGTGGAAATCATCACCCACCTGTAAGAGAGAGACATGCCCAGGCTCTCCCTGCAGCCACACTCCTGTTAGCTTCCCTGCCACCAACTGGGAAGCTGCAATGCCTCCATGCCCCGCTACACGCGCGTTTGTCTGGTGTTGAGGGTCTGAGCTCCTGGAGCACGTCCAGAGCCTCTCTAGCTCTCCTCTCTGCCTCTCATCCATGTCCTCTCCCTTTGCCCAGGCAACCTGGAGCAGGTCCCGCAGGCAGAGGAGGTGCTGAGCGCCGGGCGGCTGCAGCTGGAGCGGCTGTGGCTGCGCCTGGGAGCGCCGG